GTTATATTGTGACAATAAATGTACCTACCTACCTACCTATCTATATCTGTATGATCAACAACACAGGAAGACATTTAGTCTTTAAACTTTTACATACCTTGTTTTATGATATGTTGGTGTAAATTGGTTCAGTACAGATTTTTATAGCCTATTGAAAATACTCTTCAGGTATCAGCTATATTTTCTGTTTAGAACATCAGTTTTAAGGTACCTTCAGAGGGCTGGGTGCTCTTGGTTGGGGTTCCAATAGATCCTTTAATTGTACAGAGGTCAGTGGGAGAGAATTCAGGCTCTCTGATTGGCCCTCTCGGTGCAAATGGAGTTAAGATTGTTGAGGGGGACTGGTCAATTCCCAAGTTATGGAGATACAACTGCAAAAAAACAAATACAGAACCGATCACAATCAGGGATACAAGACTAAACGTACATTTTAGTGTTCTTTTCTAATACATTGTGCATGCTGAATAAAATTAACTGCTAAATCTTTATTATCTGCTGAAAATGAATCTGCAATAACAATTATACATACTCTTCTAGTCCTAAACATAGTTCCAATAATATTCTAAAGAAATGCTTTGCTTGTTTACATGATTCTCAGTTTTTCAATTACCGGAATTCGTTCTTCAATGTTGAGCTCTCTAGGCCTGGGCAGTGGTGGCGGTGTTGATTGTTTTGAAGTCCAGTATGGGACATAGTTATCGACCTCTAGGCTGACAACAGAAGAAGCTCCAATTGAAGTTCCTAATTTAATTCCACTGTTATAACTATCTTGGGAACTTGAGAGTGTCAAATCTCGATCAAGTGACACATCGCTGAACTGACCAAGGCTCACGAGAGGCGAGGACTGAACTGTGGCGCTTGGCTGATGGTGGCCATTGTTCTGAGTCTGACTCTTCTCCTTTTCTGCATGTCTCTCTGTGTGCTGATCTTTCTGGGCCGACATGACAACCGTGATAAGAGACGAGTGAGACTGTGACCTGCCAATTGGTGAGGCATATGGTCTTGATGCAGACCCAGCGTTATCTTTGTCACAGGGAGCACTGCCCACCGCCTCCCCTCTTCTTGAAGAAGAGGGAACCGTGGAGGAGCTCTGTGAGACATTCTGAACGGCAGCACTTGAAACAGGAGGCTGTTGTAAACTCCTCGCCTGCTGACTCAGTATGCGATTCAGGGAGTCAGATACAGCATCATAAGCTTTCTTTTTAGGAGAGACGCCAGTAAATCCTTGCAGTGCCAAGCTATCAAATAGTGACGTCTTGCTTGAACTCTGGTTTGCCCTCCAAGCGTCTACTTTCTGCATATAGTTGAGACTTGGGAGAGACTGGACTTTTGCAGAGGTAGCTTCCTCTTGGCACTGATTTGCTGTGTCCGAGCTATAGACATCAGCCGCAGGAACAGTTGGCTGTGGAGAGACCCCTATATTTGACTGATACGAATTCTCTTTATTGGATTCTATGGCAGAAAGTTGCCCTAATTTAGCCTTGACACTGGATTTGGGTGGGGCCTTAAAAACTCCTGGAGTGGACTGAGACTGTGGAAGGAAACCTAGGTAGGACCCATCAATCCCTGTTTGGTTCCCTGAGGACCAGAGGTCTTGCTCTCTGTGACCCCGTTCAACACCTGCAGAAAACGGCCCTGTCCATGGCACAAGATTTGCTCTATTCACACTTGGCTTGCCTTCAGACGTCTCTGTGGGATACGGTGTTATAGACTGAACAGGCAGTGTAGGACTTTTCCGCTGTTGGTTTTTAGATTCAGCTTCACAGCTGGTGCATCTCTCTACCTCAGACAGCAGCTCTCTATGCAACATTTCACTACTGTCATCTGGTTTAGTGCTGCGGGATCCCATGGTGATGTTACAGACCTCAGATGACAATGTTCGTGATTTGTCAGGGTATAAATCTCTGTCAGGTTGTTGTGTCTGCTGTTGGGGAAGAGAGGCTTCACCTGGAGGACCTTCTCTTCTAACCATTCTTTGGTCAATGCCTGGTTTGCAAACTTCAGTGCGTTTAGACTCTTCTGCAAAAGATGCAGCGTTCTTCACAGAGATTTCAGAGGCAGAGGAAACAGCACTGCTGCTGCTGCTTGGCATGCCGATATCTTTCTGAAGGCGCTCCAGAAGATGCTGGGCAGGAATGTCCTTACTCAGAAAGAATGTCTCATCTTCAGCAGCCTCTCCTACTGGCTTGTCTGGAGGGTCACTTAGTGTCCCTAAGTCCTTCTCTCTGCTATTTATACCATCTCTGGATGGTACTCCCTGTCTGTCTGTGTTGGCATTTAGTGGGGAGGGAACAGTTTCCTTTCGTTTGCCTTCCTCCCCTGGTGACAAACTGTGCTGGGACAGAGAACAGCAGCTGTTCACTCCTTCTTCCAAGAGGATGGTTGCCTGGGCCAAAGGGTGCTGGGACAGTGAACCACCCTCTGAGACCGGAGTAGTGCGATCCTGGGGTGGAAAGTAAAACCTCTCTGATGCCATGGAAATGTCAGGGTACGCCCTTTAAAAAAGTAAATAAACAAAATAAGCCAAAGACAAACATTGAAATGAGAAGTTGTAGAAAACTAATCCCACAGAACCAATAATTGACTTTGATTGATTTGTTTTTTACCTTAAAGGGGCAAATTCACTGTCACTTTGATGAAATAAAGAATATTCAGGGAAGATGTGTTCCACTCCAGAGTGGAGAGGCAACAGGGGAAGGGAAGGAGACAAGTTACTGTCCTGAAATTCTGATGATACAGAAAATGTTAAATGTTAGACAGGCACCGTAAATAGGTTTACAACTGATGCATAAATCCTACAAATTTAATCTATGCAAACTATCACTGCCTTCAACTTCCCATTATCATGAGATCCAGTGTGATATTTTTCAATTTTATATCATTCAATAAACACCATTACAGTTTATTTTTTGACACAAAGACACTTTATTTATTTATTCAATTTATTGTTTTATTCAATATACATGCCTGGCTGCAAAGAATGTCCCCACGGCTGCTGAATCTCCCAGCTATCCGTTTCCAGTCTGGGCCGCCTCTGGTCCAGACTTGCTCGGCTATGACCTTGAGCTCCCAGTTGGTTTACTGAAGTTTGTCCGACAGACTGAGTCATATCTTCATCTGCTGGCACCTGAGGAGATGCCACCACCCTCTGTGAACCGAATCACAAAACAAAGAGACTCACTGTTACTGTCCTCTTGTGCCATTTTAACAGAGCTGTGTGTGGGGAAATCGAACAGCCTCTGGAGTGATTAGTGGAGAGGAACATGCTGCAAAAACTGTTATCCTTCTTAGAAAATGTCTCAAACACTCTCCACAACCTGTTGGTCAAACAGCAGAGCACTTACAGCAGGAAACTTATTCAGCTCTTTTGTGACAAGGAACGCCGCAGGAAGTCATTCCTGCCAGCTGCCATCACTTTATATAATGACTGTTCTCTGTGTTGGGAGAGGGAGTCATTTAAGCCTCAGGTTCAAAACAAAGACAGAGTGTTCATTTGGATTTGTAAATGTTTTATTTAATTTATTCACAATCATATCACAATGACCTTTCTACATTTTATGCAGCCTCTTAACTCTAGATGACTGCATAGCAGACCTGTTCCTGTGTTTACATTTAGAGTATTCAGTGTACATATAATTCTATTTTAATATCCAAGGACAATCTTGCACCTTGCCGCATATAGCATTATGTAATTGCCTTGCACAACTAAAATACTGTATATTACTGGGCATGGTCTTGTCATAATTCTATCCTACTTCATTAGTTTTGGTGATTTTTGTGACATGGCTGCTGTTATTTGGGAGTAAAAACTCCTGTTTTTCTTCATATATGTTTGCTATTTATCTATATCAGCTATGTTGGTCAGCGTTGTACCAACGACATCTATTGCATGTCTGTCCATCAAGGAAGAGGGATCTCTCCTCTGTTGCTCTTGCTGCAAATTATAAGTACGTGTCACACACCTATAATGTTAGCCTAATATGTATATGTTTGTCATATCCCTAGTTGTTTGTGAATAATTATGTAGTTGTTCTGGCTGTTGCAAATTTTTGGCCTCTTTGGAGTTGTCACTGACCTATTATTGTAGCATCTGTTACAGAAGCGGATTAGTCACTTCTTATCAGCAGTTTAACTACATTATCTTATTCATCAGATGCCAATCAGTTGATAAGCATGGCTAAATGGTAGCTAAGGACAATGACGCTTAAGTTTGCTTCCAATTCGGCAGTTAATGGGAAAGTGAAGGGAAAGTCAGGTTCAGATCAAAAACCACTATGAGCTAGATAGACACCTAGAGTTGTCAAATCTGGACTACAATGTCCTAGAGAGTCTAACGTTGAAGTATCAGATATGTGAAAACTTTTTTCTATTTGTGAACATAAAAAAGGGCGATTTATATGATCTAATGTAATTTGACAGCTCTAGGCATAGTGTTTTTTTTATCTGGACCAGAGTTCCCCTTCACTTTACCCTTAACTGCTGAATCGGAAGCTAACTTCAGTGCCTAAGGACAACAGGTTCCTGTTAGCCATGCTGTTAGCTAGCTTGGTGAGACCCATGACTTCGCTCTGTACAATCTGCAAACAAACTGCAAACGTTAACTTGCAACTGAATAGCCGCCAGCCATCCATGCTACCATCGGTACTACCGGAAATGCAGTATTTTGTCTGACAATGACGTTTCCTTCAAAAATGAATAACGGTCATCCGTCGATTAGTAAGCTAACAACATAGCAAAGCGGTTAGCAATAAGCTAACGTTAATTACTGACAACGGCCAACGTTGGTTAAACTTTAGCCATATTTCCCCGGGTGAGAATTACGTGATACTATCTTTTATCACAGCAGGAGTCAAGTTAAAGTTATAGAAATTACCTCTTGTGGCTCCATGTTGTTGTTGACAGAGAGCGCGCTTCCTCCAGCTCGTATCCAAGGACCGTTGCTAGGAAATGTAGGACAAACTCACGCAGGCGCGAAAGAGATTTGATTTGACCTGAAGAAGCAACAGATCGTCCCAAACTTCAAACTCACCGGGTGCGTTCAGATCATAGACTGTATATAAAAAGGTTCAGATCGACTAGTAGTTTCCTGTGAAGTAGGATGCCCAGTGTACTCAGCCATGTTAATTAGTCCAAACTTTAGAGAGCAACTGAACTGAACCTGAAACTGACCAGCAAGATTACCCATCAGTCATTGCGCCACGCTGGAGCGTAAAAAACAAACAGCAGCGCTCTGTCAAATACATAGGCCCTCCATAAAGTATAGTTTATTTTTTCATTTCTATTGTTTTTGTTCTCATTGTTGTTCTTTCTTATTTTTCTCCGCTAAAAGTGTTTGCAATTATCTTGAAAACGACTTTGTTTAGAGTCAAACTTCTTTCATCATTTTAATCTCTGTATCCATCTGCGTCTTTGCTTCAATGGTCGATCTGCTCTAAAAATGTCAAATTATGTGACTTTTTATATCACTTTTCTCTAAAACCTATTTCTGCAAACTCATCCCAGATGGTTTTGCCAATCCACCTGAAACTTTGGCAAGATCATCCACAGACATCGCTTATCAAAAGTTATCAAAAGAATTTTGATACATCAATCTGGGTTTTTTTTTTCATAAATTTTTACTTTTGTGTCATGTACACTTTTACCCATAAATCAAAATTGGCTTAAACTATTGTAACCAAACTTGACTGGTCTGTTCAGATTATCGGACCGATATTCGCTGAGCAGTCCTGGGATATTCTTCCACTAGGGGACACTACACTTGCAAAACGTTTATGCTTGGTAATTCGCTGGTCACTACTCTACATAACTACATAAAATTTGGTAATGATTGCTCAAAGTGGGTGTGGTTTATTACTTATTTCAAACTTTAAAAAATCAAAGAAAATCACCCGTATGTCCTAGAGAGAAGAAATTTTAGCTGACGCTTTTATCCAAAGCGACTTATAATGGCTATATATGTCACAGGCTGCACACCTCTGGAGCAACTAGGGTTGTCTTGCTCAGGGACACATTGCTGTCTTACAGTGGATTCAAACCCGGGTCTCTTGCACCAAAGGCATGTGTCCTAGCCATTGCACCATCACCACCCTATCTGTCCACTGATATGTGACAAATGTTTTTCAGAATCTGTTAATTCAATTAATATCTATATCTATATCTCCACAAGTATTTCTTCAAGTGCTACCAAAATCAACACAAACATTCTCTAGATGGTCAATATCAAGTTTTTTAAAGGGTTTTTAGATCGGTGAAACAGTGAGTCTGCAGTGATATTCAGTATCTTGCTATAACTTGTACAGTATGTACAACATTTCCTTTTTGGCTCAGTGTTGGATGAAATGCCACCAAAATTATTGACAACACACCCAAAACCAGCAGAATGGTGTGTGATTTTTTCCAGAATTTTCTCACCAACATCTTGACTGTTGTAAGCGTTTTAAGTTCAAACTGATAAACATATCTGGGTCTGGGTCACTGTCTCAACTTGCGAGAAGGTGTGTGGAAACCCTCACACCAGTAGCTCAGTCAGTAAGTCACCTACTCTCGAGATCTTAAGATCCAGGATTTAAATCTCCAACTGAACAAGTCAGAGATCATAGTGAGTCTAAGTTTTTATTTTATTTGGATCCTATGACACTTTTTAAAAATTTTCTCTGCTAAAATGTGTTTGTGCAACTTAAATTTTAAAACTTGGAAACACAAAAGGTGGGTTGAACATTTCACCCAGTAGTCAGGTATATATAATGATGTCAAGGTGATGCTGTAAAAATCAAGTTTGCATTTCCCCAATTATCTCAAAGTCCAAATTCTTTCATCACTTTATCTCTTAAGTCATCTGCATCTTGTTTTTTTCCTCTGAAAATGTCAAATGTTGCTTTTTTCACTACTTGCTTGGATCCTGATCATTGCCGCTTGCCTTACAGGGACAGTGCTCATTACTTAACAGCAAAGTAACTTTAAACGAGCCAGAGTAGCTCAACTAGGCCTGTTATTAAAAAGGCAACCTAAAATAAAAGATGGAGGCAGGCATACTGCAGACTTTTTTTCTTTTTTTTTTTACCTTATTCAGTTATGTACCAACACAAAGAGAAAGATCTTGGGGAGATAAGAAATATGAAACTAAATTTAAATCATTCTCCAAAACTCTCTAAATTAAAAAAAGATATCAGGTTTGAATTTGAACACTATTACTAAGCTTGTTTACTAAATATGATACACTACTAGGCAATGCTGATCCATAGAATAAACCATAAAGTGCATCTTTGGAGAAAAAAACTTAAAACAAAGATTTATTACACTAAACGAATTTACCTTCATGTGTGATACTAAATTCTAATAAAGTGTTTTAAAACTTATGACTAATGTGATTCTCCGCAACTCCACCAAGATACAATAAAGCATTGCATCACAAGCTTTTAGTCTTGATCTATCCCCATTGATCCTGATGAGACAGTATGTAGTGATGTGCGATACCACTTAATTCCTATATGATCCAATACCAAGTAATACCCAGGCTGGTATTCCCGATGTGACACCTACAAATGTGTTGTCACAATTGTTAAGATATTTTGTGTAATAGCCTTTTAAAAAGGGGCATAATGTGAATGTATTTTGCACGGGGTTTGAGTAGTATTTTTGAGGGTGTAATTGCTTAACGACGCCACAAGAGGAAGTATCCACTTATGTGAGCGCTAGTAGGGCTGCGCGGTGCTTCCGCTCCTCAGACAGAGAACAGCCTGCTGAACGATCATAAGTGACATCTCCCGTCTCTGCTTTTCCTGTACAAAACAGGACACAATTTCCAAACAACAGTGACCCAAATCTAACAAGTGCCCTTCCAGTTGAGTAGTGTGCCCATGGACTGCCCCCTGATTGGTTTTAATGTGGTTGAACAGCTGATATTGGGACCAAAGGAGAATGCAGATCTCATACCAACTCTTGTGAGTCTTCTTCGTGGTGCCATGAACCTCCAGGATGACAAGGCCGCTGCATTAGTCAACTTCATCCACGCAAAAGTCACCAGTAATGATGTTGGCCAGACTTTGCTGAAAGTGGGACCGCAAGATGTGGTCATTCCAGCTGGCCAGGTCAGACACGTTAAGTGTAAAATACCATCCACACTTGACACGTCAAACCCACTTGTGCTCTTTGAACCCAGCGAGAGCAACCCACAGTTACAACTGGATATTGGTGACAGCCTTCTAGAGATTTGTCAGACTGGATTCCCTTTTGTGAGAGTCCCCATCGGCAACCACACCAAACACGACGTGACCCTGTTCTGTAAAACTGCCCTTGGGAGCATTGAGGCAATATCCAGAGTTGTACCAACTGACGAGCTGACCCAGGCAAATGTTACCCAGGAAGCCAACAGGAAAGAACAGTCAGGAACTCAGCAAGACAAACGGGGTAGTGTGGCACAGGAATGGGACCCACTAGTTGATCTTAACCATTTAACTGAGGGTCAGCAGACGATTGTAAGGAAAATGTTACGAGAAGAGTCCAGGATATTCGCACGAGACGACAATGACATGTGTATACCTGGCCTGGAAATGTCCATTACTCTCAAGGCCAGTACTCCAATTCATACATCATATACCTCTATCCCAAAACCCCTTTACAAAGAGGAGTACAGAAAAGGAGTACATTGAGGATCTTCTAGTTAGAGGGTGGATTGTGAAGTCCAAATCCCCATACTCAGCACCAGTAGTCTGCGTGCAGAAGAAAGATGGGACGCTTAGACTCTGTATCGATTATCATCTTTTGAATCAACGCACTGTTCCGGACCGACACCCCTTGCCGAGAATCCAAGACCTCACAGATACAGTGGGTACAGCTGGTTCTCCATCCTAGACCAGGGGAAGGCATACCACCAGGGGTTCATTGCAGAAGGGTCGCTCCACTTGACTGCATTCATCACCCCCTGGGGTCTTTACGAGTGGGTGCGAATCCCTTTCGGACTGACAAACGCACCTGCTGCGTTTCAACGCAGTATGGAAGAGATGCTTGCTCCCCTTCATGATGAGTGTTGTATTGCATATCTGGATGATATACTGTGGTATGCTACAACATTTGAGGATCATGTTGAAGGGCTAAGAAAGGTCCTGAGGGCCCTGCAGATTCATGGAGTCAAACTCAGGCCCACAAAATGTGACCTGTTTAGATGAGAAGTGAGATATGTTGGTCGTTTGGTTTCAGCCGAGGGTGTGGGCATTGATCCTAAGGACCTGGAGGTGGTGTATGCTCTGAAAAATGAAGCACCTGCCACTGTAGGAGATGTGCGGAGAGTCATGGGCTTCTTGAGCTACTACCGCTCAGAGAAACAGAGAAGAGCAGCCTCTGGGGAGACATGGTGGACTGAGAGGAAAGGGTGCACAGTTACCATCTAAAACCCTAGTCAAATGGACGGAGAAACATCAGGAGACACTGTGTAAGTTGATTGACATGCTGGCGAACCCCCCTGTTCTCACGCACAGGGTGACCAACATGAACCAAATAGCAGAGAAGTCGTGCCACCCATTGATCTGGCTGAACTCCAAAAAGCTCAGAGAACAGACCCAGTGATAGGGGAGGTTTTGAAAATGAAGGAGTCGAACAAAACACTTAGAGATGACTTAAAACGCAATATGAGGGGCAGTGTCAGAAAAATGATTCATGAATGGACCAAGTTTCACATTGAAGATGGGGTTCTTTACCGTAAGACAGCAGAGAGACGTCAGCTAGTCTTACCTGCCACCTTTAAGTCACTTGTTCTTAAGCACCTACATGATGACATGGGCCATGTCGGAACAGAAAGGGTCCTCAGTTTGGCAAGGCAAAGGTTTTATTGGCCCTACATGAGGCGAGAGATCGAAGCTTATGTCACCAGACAGTGTCCATGCATAAAACAAAACTCCATGGAAGAAGACCCAGGAGGACTCCACTTCTGAAAGAAAAACATAAAAAAGCCAGACTGGAATTTGCTAAAATGCATATTGGCAAGCCACAATCCTTCTGGGAGAATGTCCTTTGGACAGATGAGTCAAAACTGGAGCTTTTTGGCAAGTCACATCAGCTCTATGTTCACAGACGAAAAAATGAAGCTTTCAAAGAAAAGAACACCATACCTACAGTGAAACATGGAGGAGGCTCGGTTATGTTTTGGGGCTGCTTTGCTGCGCCTGGCACAGGGTGCCTTGAATCT